GAGGAGGAGGAGGAGGAGGAGGAGGAGGAGGAGGAGGAGGAGGAGGAGGAGGAGGAGGAGGAGGAGGAGGCGGGAGGAGGAGGAGGAGGAGGAGGAGGAAGGGGAGGAGGAGGGGAGGAGGAGGAGGAGGAGGAGGAGGAGGAGGAGGAGGAGGAGGAGGAGGAGGAGGAGAGAGGAGGAGGAGGAGGAGGAGGAGGAGGAGGAGGAGGAGGTGGAGGAGGAGGAGGAGGAGGAGGAGGAGGAGGAGGAGGAGGAGGAGGAGGAGGAGGAGGAGGAGGAGGAGGAGGAGGAGAGAGAGGAGGAGGAGGAGGAGGAGGAGGAGGTGGGGAGGAGGAGGAGGAGGAGGAGGAGGGAGGAGGAAGAAGAGGAGAGAGGAGGAGGAGGAGGATGGAGGAGGAGAGGAGGAGGAGGAGGAGGATGAGGAGGAGGAGGAGGAGGAGGAGGAGGAGGAGGAGGAGGAGGAGGACAACGGCGAGCTTGGGGGCCCCTTTGGCCGTTTTTGGGGCTTTTGGCGGTCCCGGGGGCCTCTCGCGTATCTCGGGGCGCCTCTTGGGGCCTCTTGGGGATCTCTTGGGGGTCTCTTGGAGGCCTCTTGGGCGCCTCTTGGGGCGTCTTGGGGCTCTCTTGGGTCGCTCTTGGGACGCTCTTGGGAGCCTTCGTGCCGCTTTTGGGGCCATCTTGGGCGAGATCTATCAAAGAAGGGGGGGTTGTCAATTAGCGCTGCCCCTCTAGAGTGCTTCGAATCGCCTCTTGGGCCCCCCAAGAGGCCAAAATCCTTCCAAAACCTAAGGCAAATCAATGTTTTGTGCTTTCTCGCCTGTTCGCTCTTGGAGCCGTCTTGGGCCATCTTGGACGCCCCAACGACCCGCGGAACCCCCCGTCCAGGTCCAGTGGAGGGGGTAGGGGGAGGGGTAAACCCGTCCCCGAAGGGGAAGAAAGGGGGTTAGAAGAGGAAACTCTCTAGACCACCGACGCCCAGCGGGCTGGTGGGATTTCTTACTTCTGATGAGCGGGTGTGCGCGCATAATTTTTTTTTATCAGAATGTGACGGGGGGGCGATACTGGCCTGCCAGGCATGATGTGTATTCATATTTCGGATGGACAATGGGGCAGGATCATGTGTAAACTGCCAAACGAAACAGGGGTGCCGATAAAATCGGGGGGGGGGCTGATTCTGTTTTCCTTTTCGAAGGGAGAACCTATGCGACGCCGACGGCGGCGACGGGCGGCACCGCCCGCAACAACCGCCACCTGCCCCGAGCGACGGCGACGGGGACGGCTACGGCGACGGCGGCGACGGGCGGCACCGCCCGCAAAAGCCGTCACTCGCCCCAAGCGGCGGCGACGGCGACGGCGACGGCGGCGACAGGCGGCACCTCCCGAAAAAACAGCAATTCAACCCGAGATGGTGTAACAAAGTCAGATCCCATGATAGCAATCACTGTTTCGGGCATGTGTTTATTTGTTTGAGTACATGTATATTTTTGAATATATTCATGTATGAGTATATTCATGGATGAAGATCTGTAAATGTGTCAATACTTGTGTATGTATATACCTATATGCGTACACTTATTGCATACGTATGCGTACATGTGTATGTTTCCGTATAGGTATAGGTTTACGTATATGTACATATATAACTACATTTTTGTGTATATATATGCATATATTTTTGTATACGTATGTGCTTACGTACATGGACATGTAAGTTTCATGTATAGTTATATGTTTTGTTGTACGTGCATGTATATGTATATATGCATATATGCATGTGTATGTGCAGTTGCATATGCGTATGTAGATGCATTTGTGTATGCTCATGTTTGTATGTATAAATGGATAAACGCATATCGGTGTATGTGTATGCATTTGTATATGTATGTGTGTATATTTGTGCAATTAGATGTATGTATGTATATGTATACGTATATCTATATTTCCGTGTAGCCTAATCATGCGTATATGTACATGTGTGTTTATGTGTACATACATGCAGCATGTGCATTTGCATATGTACATATACGTTCATACATACACATATACATACATACCTACACATACATACGTGTATCTACATTTGACTATCTATACCCACATCCATATGTACATTAATATATGTATCATCAATTCGGACGTGAGTGATTCTATACACGTACTTAGCGAGAGGGAGCGAACGCGAGAGAGGAACATATAGTATGATCCACAGGGGGAACTATACAGAGGGAAGGGGGGAATGAGAAAGAGAGATATATAAGGATAGTGACTGGGAGGAACACGAGAGAGAACGAGAGAGAGAGAGAGATCGTGATACGACGGTGATAAGAGAAACCCTCCCTGCCATGCACAGGCCAATGCGTCAGCAGCTGCGGCTGCTGTGGCTGCCAAGGACGCCAAGATGGCTGCTGTGAATAAGATCGTCACCATGCTGTCGGATTTGCAGGCGGTCTACTTGTGTCTTTGACGTGCTCGCGCTTGTGCAGTTTTCTTGGGTAACTGCAGTGGCTTTCGGTCGTGTGCGGCGAGTTCACACATGCCGGTGGGAAGATGTTCGTTGATGTTTCTGGCTGTGCTGGTCATTTAGATAATGTTGGCGATCGTCGGCGTCGATGAAATCGTTTGTGTTTGGTAGCACTTGCGGAACGGTCTCGGCGTCAGTGTTAGCAATCCTGAGCCGATACCGTGCTCTGTAGCTCGAGTGGAGTGACCACAACCTCTGTTGTCACAGCCTTCGAATTCGGATTATGCGCCTGCGCGGGCAGTGTTGCGTGGGCGGTGCTGCATTGATGTCGGGTGGCTACACGGGTCTTCAGGCGAAGGTCATTGCCGAGGGCGAGGCCGAGGCCAAGGCGCCGTCTCCTTCCCCGAGCAAGCAGAGTGAGGATTATAGCAGAAGAAACAGCAAGTATGGATGCGGTGGATGTCGAGCGAAGAGGAGGAGGAGGACGAGGAGAAGAATAAGGATGATGAGGAGCAGGATGAGGATGAGCAGTGGGAGGAGGAGGAGGAGGAGGAGGCGGAGGAGGAGGAGTTTGAGGAGGAGGAGGAAGATAAGAAACACCTGTGAGGACACATGCGGATGATGACGAGGATGATCAGTAACACTAGGTTCCTTCTCCCTTTAGCGTCATTGGGCGTGACCGTGTCTGGAATCATCACCACAACCACGTTTCAATGCGGTGGCAGCATTTGTAGTTTTTCTCGCCGACGTATAGTATTGGTTCTGTGGGCGACGGGGGGGGGGGGCAATTCGTTTCATGCCTCCAACGCTTTGCTTTTCAGAGGCAGGGTTGAGGAGATAAGACGGCTGAGGCACGGGGTATACGACGGAACGGGACGGGAAGCAGCTGTTGGCAAATCGGTTGATAGTCTTCAGCGGGAAGTGATTTGAGTTTGGATTTGAGTCGAGAGAACTGTTTTTGTTGTTGAGAGTGTGGGGTGTTCTGAGTTGAGAGAACTCTCTGATTTTCAATTGGGAGCCAAACTCGAACTTACATTCCCAACTCGAGTCTTAGCTGAAACTTCAACTCACAAGTCGAATCCCAACTCAGGCTGTAACTCACGACGCAGCTTCCAATTCAAAGTTAAACTCCAAGCTTAAATCCTTGCTCACAGCTCAAATCCCAAGTCGAAGCTTGGCTCCAAACTAACATTCCAATTCGAACGTTACCACCCAATTCAACCCCCGTCTTAAATCTCAAGTCGAACCCCAACTCAAAGTCAGGTCCCAACTCAAACTCCCATTCACCATTCAACTCCCAACTCAAATCCCAGCTCACAATATATCCCAACTCTCTCCTCGACTTTAGAATTGAGTCCCATCTCAGATGCCAATTCAATCTTCAACTCCCGAATCAGGCCACAACGTATATCCCGACAGTTCTCTCATCTCGAAAGGCAAATCAAAAAACATCAGGCCACAGTCCACTTCCCTCGAACCTGCAACCCCGGCAGTGGTTCCAACAGCATTCATGCTCGGGGTGTCTGCGGACACCTCCAGGGCGGCACCTCTGGCTCCCTGGGGGGGAGGAGGAGGAGGAGGAGGAGGAGGAGGAGGAGGAGGAGGAGGAGGAGGAGGAGGAGGAGGAGGTGAAGGAGGAGGAGGACACGATCGGCCCTGGCTCCCGGCGAGGACGCGCTCGTTGCTTGCTGGGGCGCGCGCGGGACGGGTGAGGCAGAGGCACCCGCGGGGCTCGGCACCCCGCGCGGGCGGGGCCCGCGCTGCGCGGCGACCAGCCCTGCCGCGGCCGCGACGGGGGAGGGTGGGCCCGGGCTGAGGCCACACCCGACGACGTCTTCTTTTGGGTCGGCCTGCTGGTGCCTCGGGCGTCGTTCGGGGATGGACGGGGTGGCCACCGTCGGGTCCCACCTGCAGGCCCTGGCTGTGCTGGCCCCCCCCCTGTAGCCGCGTCGGCGAGGGCCGCCTCGAGGCGGGCGCGTTTTGGCGAGGGCGGCAGCCTGGATCCAGTCTGGTGCGCACGCTGACGGTGGAGCATATGTTGGGTGTTGGGTGCGGGGCCGTGGTTTCGAACTCCGTGTTGCTGTGCCCAACATGTCGGTGCGCCAGGGGCTGGGCGCGGTGCCGCAGGGCGTAGACGCTGACCGCACTTTCATGGGGCACCAGTGCCCTCACGCCTCGACAATGTCCACGTGCATGTCGTGGTCCAGCACAGCCAGGGTGGCCGTCGTGTCCAACTGGCGATCGAACTTTGTCGCGGTGATGCTGATGAGGCCAGCGTCGACACGCCTGCACGAAGTGATCGTCAGTTTTCTGGCCCGAATGGCTCCAAGCCCGTTCACCACCTCTGGATCGTCGATGCAAGCGTGGGCGGGTTTGTTCGGCCGAAACCACGAGGTGCAGAAATGCTGCTGTTTTGGCCCATTGAGGTTGCTGCGCACGCCGTCGGTGGCAGCGTACGCCCATTGGCGGCCCTGAGCCTCGTCATAGTACGCCTCTTGGACGTCTGGATCGTCGTTGCGGTCGAGTACGGGCCGCGACCCAGCTTGGGGCGGCTCGTTGGCAAGGGTAGGAGGAGGAGGAGAAGGAGGAGGAGGAGGAAGAGGAGGAGGAGGAGGCCTATGAGGTCGCCTTGTACACAGGCAGGATCCAAGAGAATTTAGCGGCCGCCTCCTTTCCTGATGCCCTCAAGCCTCGTCTTCGGCGTGTTTTCGATCCGCTCGAGCTCGTGTCCGAACCTAGAGGGAATCAGGTTAAGTGGAGAGGTAGCCGATGGTGTTGTTTGGCTTGTGGCCGCCATTGCAAGGCCAGAGCCAGGCTTGTCCAGGGTATGTGCCCAGGTGTGTCCGCCTTGCTCGCCCAGGCTCACCGGTCTCACATGCTCTGGTGGTCGGGGGCACTCGAGGGGCTGGCCTGGTGTTAGTGCCTGTGGTGCGTATTCCAAGAGACAGGTCCTGGCCCTGGCCCAGCCCTTCTTGAAGCACCCCACCGACGGCCGAGCGAGAGTTTTGACGGAGCCGAAGCAGGGCTAGGGCCCCACCTGCAAGCAGCCCATCCCTCGATCGAGCCCTGTGGTGCCTCCGCTGTCCCCACGCCGTGTCGGCTGGGCCACGGGGCTCCATGAGGCCGTGGCCGAGAGGCGGGAGATCTGCCGGGAGGATTCTGCTTCGTGGACGGGCCTGGTTGGGTGCCTGAGGCACCGCGCCCCCCCCCTCCTCGGCGTTGTGTGTGTGTGTGTGTGTGTGTGTGTGTGTATGTGTGTGTGCGTTGACCGTGGATTGCGGTGGTTCCGTCGGGGCCACCGTCCGAGGAGCGGAAGCAAGGGCGCCCTCGAGGGCGCGAAGTTATTCGCGCTTCGCGCTTCGCAGTTCGGCTCCGATTCCTCCTCATCCTCCTCTTCTCCCCTGGGAGGCGGCGCGAGAGCGCGAAGTTGTTCGCACTTCGCGCTTCGCGCAGCGCGAGAGCGCGAAGTTGGGAGCCCTTGGGAAGGCGGAGCGCGGCGTCCTCGAGGGTCGGTCGGCGAGGGTCTTGCCCGAACCGAGCGCACACGGCAGCGGCGCGTGCAGTGGCCGGCGGCAGAGCTGCGCGGGGGGTGCTCACGCCGGGGCCTCGAGAGGAGGGCGGAGACGCACGGGCACGCAGCTGGGGAGTGCAGCGGCAGGGCTCGTTTCGATTCCTCCGGCTCGAGTCGATTTCGATGGCTTCCGATTCCGAGTCGATCCGATTTGGGATTCCGATTTGGGCTCCGGTTTCTCACATTGCAGGCATGGTAGCCTGCCGATTTCCGCCGGTTCGACTTTTTCCGGCTCGGCTGCCGATTCCGCGGATCCGATCCATTTCGATCGCCGATCCGACGTATCGATTCGATTTTGGGGTCTCCTGCAGTGGGTGGCAGTGGCTGGCAATGTACGCGGCATGATCACTGAGAAGGCACTGCAGAAGGAGCTCGTCTGGCCGTGTCCTGGGGATCCACTCCAGTGAGCGGCCCCCCCGCTTCAGACGGGAGGGCTGGCAGGGTCGACCGAAGCGAGATGGCGAAAACGGTGGCCGCAGCTACAGGCAGACATACGGTGAGCGGCTTGAATAAGGAACGCTTACTTTTCAAAAGGGGCTCGGTCATTCCTTAGGCTTGCATGCGTTATTTATCGTTCCCTATGCGTTATGTAGTATTTGTTCATCGTTCCCTATGCGTTATTCCTTGGAAAAAGGGGCTTCGTTCCTTATTTATCGTTCCGTCACCTCGGCAGAGGGCGACCCGAAGATGGGCAACGGGCACGCGCGATCACGCTGGCGCTTCGACGGGGGGGTAAACGGGGAGGAGAGCGGGGAGGGGACGAGAAGGGAAGGGGAGGCCTAGAGGTTGACACCAACACCAACACCGGAAATCTAGGATCATCTTCCCCCTGTGGAGGCAAGCCCCTGTGTTGGTGTTGGTGCCAATTTCCAGGCCTCCAAGGGAAGGGGAGAAACCAGGGGCTCGTTTCGATCCGATCGATCCGATTCGATATCAATCTCGGCCAGCCCGATCCCGAGCCGATCCCGATGTGCCGAGGAGCCGACGCGGCCCGATGCTCGCACGGAGCTGTGGTGCATCCTGGCGCAGCCGGTCCGATTGGATCTCGACGCCATGCCCACGCGGCCCGAGTATCGACGCACGTTTTGATTCGGTCTGATTTTCTGGCTCGATGAGGGACTGATCCTGGAATGGGGGGGGCGAGCCGCTGTTTGGTTGTTCGCCGGGCTGGTCGCAGAGGCAAGAGCTGTTGCCGTATGCAGTGTCCAAGAGTCGCACTCTCCAGGATCCGATAACGGCACGCGCTGGTAACCTGCACTTCTCGTGCGAGCATCACCTACCTCCCAACTGATTGTGAGGAGACTTCCTATCTGCTGCAGCCAGCCAGCGAGGAGGAGGATGAGGAGAAGAGCAGGAGGAGGAGGTCGGTCTGTCGAGGGCCTCGGGTGACTCAGTCTGCCGAGCTCTGCCGGGGGGGTGAGGGCCACCATGGCGGCCCTCAGCCCCACAACTGGGCCGCTCGACAGCCCACACTTCGCACACGTCACAGCACCCGCTTCCATCCCAAGGCATCGTCCACCGCGATCAGCCCCTTCCTTCACCCCCTGACGCGGCGGCCTGAAGCCACCTGTTGGAATCAGCTTGCACACGTCGCTGTTCCCGAAGGCTGGGAGGCGCCGGGGCCTGCGCGAACGGACAGAAGGGGGCCTCGCCGCCGCCTCCGCCTGCCTCTCGCCTCCTCGGCCCCCTTCCCCTCTCCCGCGGAGCGCTTCGGCCCTGTTGGCCGCGATCTCTCGAGCACGGCCTGGGGTAGGTGCGGCGGCGCCAGGGGGGCGGCAGGGCTCGTTTCGATTCCTCCGGCTCGGTTCGATTCGACTTCGATGGCTTCCGATTTTGGGATTCCGATCGGGGCTCCGATTTCTCTCTGGAGGCATATTAGCCTGCCGATTTCCGCCGATTCGGCTTTTCCCGACTCGGCTGCCGATTTCCGCCGATCCGATCCATGCCGATCGCCGATCCGACGTGTCGATTCGATCCTCTCGTCCTCCTGGTCGGGCAGGAGAGGATGCCGGCTTTCGCGAGGGCCGCGCCACGGAGAGGGGTCGGCCTGCTCCTGCTCCCCGGGTGGGGCGGAGGGTTCCCTCGCCAGCAGAGGTAGCTGGGCCTCCCAGGTGGGGTTCGGAGTGGGCGGGTTCGTTCGATGCTCGTTTTGGGGACCTTCCTGGGGCCCACCTAATGGATCTGTTCGACTCAGGTTCGACTCAAGTTCGACTCAGGTTCGACACATATTCGACTCAGGTTCGACTCAGCTTCGACTCAGCTTCGACGCAGGTTCGACGCAGCTTCGGCGCACGAGTGGAGCGAGTGGCTCCAGGAAGGTCCCCAGAATGAGCATCAAGGTTCGGGGGATCCCGCCGCATCGCCGAAGCGTCGCCAATGTGTCGGCGATGGGGCTCGATGTGGAGCCCGTGTTTCCCCACGCCGACGTCGCCGATGTTTCGCCGTCGTCGCCGACGCATCGACAACGCATCGCGGCTGCATCGGCGGTGCACTGGCGATGCGGCGCGATTCTCCGACCCCACCTATCTGCTGGGAGCCCATCTGGGAGGCCTCTAAAGTAACAGCGGGGGCAGGGTCAAGCAGGCTACGGGTCCGCGAGAGGCTCGACCCTTGCCTGGCGGAAGGTGTCTTGGCAAAGCCAGGCCCGAGCTCAGGTGCATTATCCGAGATGGAATCCGACGGAACGAGCAGCTCCATCATGAACACAACTTCTGGATCAAACACGCCGTCACGAGCATCAGTCGTAATGGCTTCACAGACGTGCTGTAACATTGAGAGGGCAATCTGCGTACACATCCCAGGAGGAGAAGCCTTCTTTGGCGCCGTGCGCCACCTACACAGTTCAGGGTCCGAACCACCCATGGTTTTGTGAACGCCTTTGTGATGATTGCACCAGGGGTGTCGTGAAGCCTATCAGGAAGGGAGAACAGAAGCACGGAGAAGATTTGAACGGGTGCCTGACTTGGCCGAACGTTCACTGGTGGAATTCTGTTAATGCTGCCGCTGGGGACGCTGTACGCGCACGAATAGGACAGAAACACCAGAACAAGCTAGCGAGTTGTTCCCACTGTAGGGGTGCCGAATGTTTCATCCACCGTTGAAATACTGGAGTAGTCTATTCGGTGTGGAGGCATATTGTTTATATGTAGATACGTAACAGCATCCTATAATACAGGGTTGAGTATTGATTCGGAATTTGATAGAGGTTATTAGCATATTTTCTTTAGACTTGCCCCTGCGTTGAAGGAAGTTGCAACGGCTAACGGCCCAACCCATAGCCTGGTGGCCTGGAGCGCCCGACGCGGTGACCATTGCATGGTGCCCCAATGAGAGAGCGAAAACCTTTCCCCAGGGGTTGCCCCCTCCCTCCATCGAGTCACAGAGAACGTCTCGCAGTGTCCCCCCACCAATTAACTGAACCCCGCCCGCGCGAGTGTGCGAGGCCCACAGCATCACCGTATCGCTACGGGTGAAATCGCCTCGGACAGCATCGATAAGATTATCGTTCGCAAGAACGCGGAGCTCGACGTCAACTATATCAACCTCGATATCCAACTCAACTTGAACCTGAACTTCGCCACGGCGTCGTTGTTCACATAACACATTCACAGAGTAAGCACTTGTCTACACTCGATACGACAAGGCAAACACGGCGCCAAGGCCCCTCGAAACTCTTCTGGAAGGCACGCCGATTCGGTGTGCGAATGGATACCCTCATGAGGGGAGGAGGGTGCTGGCTCCAATGAGCTCAAGAGGTGGCGTGATCAACCTGCAAGCTGCTGCATAGAATTCTGTATCGTCTCTCGGGCTTAAGCTGGATCATCACGCTGGAAGGCATCCACAGCCTCCTCAGCCAGTGGCCCTGACGCCTTGTAGGATGGAAGTGCGGAGTGGGAGGGAATGAGGTCAATCTTGTGAGCATCTTTGTTCTGCATGGTCTCAAGAGCGTCCCCAGGATCTTGCAGCTC